AGCCTTGCAGAGTAGCCGTGGTTTGTTTGGAAGTGTCCAGCTTGTCAAACCCTCGTGCCATGCACTGCTGTCTGACACGCACAAATGAACACATCTCATCTGGGCTTCAAGCTGCTGCTTCGAATGAAAGGGAGACGCGGTGCTGGGGGGGGATGAGGAGGTGGAGCGGAGGACGGAGCGTAAAAGAGAGAGAGAGAGTCCATAGATTTCAGGTGGTGTCCTGGTCGTAAATCACCTTCGCCGTATCTGGGACTCTGCAGTAGCTTTCGTTGGAACTTACTGAAATATTGGACCCGAGTGGGGCGGGAGATCGGCACAGACAGACACGTTATGATGAGAACTGGAAGGCTTGCCATAGATTATGGATATAGTTTCTGGAAGTAAATTAAAATGCCGTTTCCAGAAAATTAGACGTTTTTTTATTTTTTAAAGGAATGTGTGTTTTTATGTGAATCCAAGCCCTGAAGCCGTTCTAATTAAATAAAAGATAAATAATAAAATAAATAAAAATGATTGTTATAGCATAAGAATTAACAGTCAGCATCAACGCAAAAGTGGAAGAGAAGGTTCTTTCCAGCCTCTAAGTAGGCAGACTGTCTACATGTCATGTATACTGTAATGGGGGGATAAATAATTCAAACAACTAGCCTTAGGCCAAATCAGCTTCTTCACTCGCCCTTGCTCTGAAATCGATGTTTGGGGAGGAATAAGGCGTTGCATTTAAGTCCGCTGGAGAGATTAACATAATGAAGAGATGTGAAGGAGCAGATGAGAGAGAGAGAACATGGAGGGAGAGCGTACCAGAAGAGAACACAGAGCAGGGAGACGAGGGACAGTGAGACAGGGTGGGGGGGGGGGTGGTGAGAGAGAAAGGCGTTCACACATAGAAAGAGTTCCAGGAACAGCAGATGCTTCTACTCAGCGTGAAGCTGGAGGAGTAGTTTAGTTTGGGCATTCCTGTGGCCTCCTCGCAGCCCTTTCCAGGCTGAGCAGCGCTATCTCTCTTTGCACCGGGTGACGCACAACTCGGCAACGTGGTCGACGTGGAGCGTATTAAGAAATACACAATTCATATAGAGGAGAAAAAACAACACACTGTTTGGATTGGAACTCTGACAATACTGAGTTGTTCTTTATCGAAGCTGTGAGCAAAGTATATTTATATATGGAAATCCAGAAATCCAGGTATACTACCGTGGCCGGATAGTAGAGATATTACTGCTGTTGCACTGGTGGAAGGGGCGATGGAACATTTGGGCTTTGATAATGGACTGGAGGGGTTTTTTTGCTCATAATTCTGCTTCCCACATGTCAGCTTTTTGAAACCGCTTTGTGAGCCGTGGGACAGGCCGGCTCTGATAGCTAGGCAGCTGATGTCAACGCCGGACCTCAGAGAGTCATTGGGGATGATGTGGCGCTGCCGAGTGCCTCTGCTCCATAAAAACAGGTGGTCCCAGGGTCACCCCTCCCTCCCCTTCCCCTCGCCGACTCTGCCCAGCATACCTTATGGCTCCCTCCTCTCCTCCCGCCTCCCCTGCACCATTCCCCCAGCACACACGGGAAAGGTTATTTGCACAATTGGCGGTGATTAGCTCTTGATTTGGCTCACTCGGTTCGTTTGATCACACCGTGGCGTGGCAGCCAGTAAGCCGGTGCGATTGAGGGGCGCAGCTGTGGCTCGGCCGTGACTGATATTGGGCGAGGAGAACCAGAAGGAGAAGGAGGGGAAGGGAGGAAGCAGATGAGAAGGAGGTAGGGCTTAAGAGGAGAAGGAGGGGGAGGAGAAGCAAGGCGTGGGGGGGGTTAGGTTAGGGACCTCAAAGGTCCTTCGCTTTCTTGGCAGTTTGAGTTATGGATTCAGGCTGCTGGCAGAGAAAAAGCCAACTGCTTTGTCCCTGTTATTCCAGGTGTGGGCCCTCATCTTTTTTTTTTTAATTCCCTCTTGTTCATCCCTCCATCCAACAACCAGCTTCCATCCTCTCTATGCTTCTCCTGGGTGATAGATTGTAAATGTGTGGGTGCTGCCCGGTGAATGCCGTAATAAAGCGTTGCCCTGAAGTGTCGGGGGGGCGGTGTTGTCCGTGCTGGTCTCCGGGTTGGAAGGGGGGTTGGAGTTGGGCTTCGGGTTGGGCCCAGAGCCTCAACATGGCTGGTCCAGCCAAGGAATTATTCTCACAGCAACGCCATCCATCCATCCATCCATCCACTAGCACAGCAAGGCGAGAGGGAAGGCCGCTCGCTATACGGGTGTTGAGCCAACAAATCTCCCACTCCACTCCTTTGGCCTCTCCTCCACACCCATATATCAGGCTGACGGCTGGCGAGAACCCAGACATCCAGCCAGCTGAATAAAACAGAGATTAAGCCCCAACTCGAATCCATTTAATTAGTCGTTCAGCTGCCCTCAGAACGCTGTGAGAACTGGTGTTCTTTGGCCGTCCCTTTGTCTCCCAGTGACCCCGCGCTGACTGAAGGAGGTGGCTGGTCACAAAAGAAATCTTGGCCTTGGGAACCAAAACGATTCCCATTTTCAGTTGTTGTTTGTGGGTCTGCGATTAAAGCCTTGGTTACAGGCGGAGGATGAAAGCCAGCAGGACCAGTCTGTACTCACAATGGCTTGACATCCCACCTGCATGAATCGGGTCAGCATCATCATCATTAAAGCTTTTTGTTTGTTTCAGCGACGTTACAGTCGCGTCTTCAATGGTAGACATCGTTCAAGTCTGTAATGGGTGATTTACTCATTGACTAAATAATATACGATCACCACTGACCAAACTGAGTCAATGATTAGAGACTTGAGATTATAAAATTTCTGAATGTCAAGTGAGAGCTGTGAAGCCGGGGAGGCCTTTATGAGGGTGACTGGGAATGTGACAGGACTTTGGCAGTGTAATATTAAGAGTTCACGAGGACGGGGGTTATAACCACAGTAGACGGCATTCATTTTGTTGGCACCTCTCAGGCAATGTGCAACAGCCTCCAATCAGCTTCTACGATATGGCCCGCTGTCAAGAATCCGTCACTTGGCGGCGGCGTGTTTGCTTTTGAGATCGTGCCGAACCAGGACTTCTTTTCCATGGGTTTACAGAACAAAACACCGCCCCGTAAGGGGTGGGGCAGGGGGGGCGGGGGGGCGCCCTGATGGGACAGAGGGCCAGGAGGGGAGGCGCCAGGTGCTGGTGGAGAACTGGGCATTTGGGGAAAAACCTATGGGGGTACCCGGGCCGCTGCAAACTGCGGAACAGTTGCATGACCTTTTCTGGAATGCTGCCACCCGCCTGCCACTGAAACACAGTCGGGCTAATTAAAGTTTCAGTGGCATTGGATTTTCACTGGCGCAGCACCTCGGGACAACCTTGGGGGCTGTTAGACAGGCGATACGCACAGAGGGAAAGACGGGAGATATAAGAAGAGAGGGGGAGAGAGAGAGAGGGGGGTGGGGGGAGCCGTGGAAACGGTTGAACAAGAGGGCAGCCACTCAAGGGCAGCAAGGCAGATCCAAGCGCAAAAACAGACCACGTCAGTGGCTTTTCCATAGCACACAGGAGAATAGCTGCATATTAGAATGCAAATCTACCGTCGCAAACATGCACACCAGCCTTTTTTTTATTTTTTAACATAAGCCCCGACATGTTTTGCCCTTTCAAATGGTAACGCTCAAAATATGCACGTTCATATGGAATTAGAAATGAAATTGATGCCGTCCAACTCTGAACAACAGGGTTGAAAGCGAGAACTAAGCGAGAGATACGCAATGTCAGGATGCTGAGTGCTTTTCCAAATCTTATCGGCCCGATTCTAAGACTAATGGCATTTTGATGGGTCAGTATCAAGAAGCAATGCATGACTTATGACATGGCTACCGGGAGCATTAACAAATACGGCAGACAGCATGTTCCTATCTCCAAAGGATCATTGGATAATTGGCAGCGGTTGACCGGGACATTTCTGGAAATATGGCCAAGAAAAGGTTATGCAACCAGACAGACTTGCTCATGGCCTGCATTTCACAATCTACTGGCCTTGTCTCCATTAATGATCTTGACCCCTCTTTCACCATTTGAGAAGCAAAAGGGCCTAATGGAGCCGAACAAAGCTGTGTGCGTCTGTGTGTGTTCGTGTGTGTGTTTGTGTGAGACAGAGACACAGGGAGAAAGTAAGCCCCTGTGACTGTGTGTCACCGCCTGATGAGGTCTTGGTCTGTGATTCCTGGGGGAGGTGGTCCAATCTAAGCTTTATTAGGCCTTATTGAGCTGTGTGCAGGCAGGTGTGTGTGTGTGCGTTTTCTCTATCAAGAACATTTGGCAGGGCTTTATGAGTGCCTTTGTGTGTGTCCCTAGGATACACTTGGTCGGTGTTACTTTAATGGGGCGTGCAAGGTATCGTACATGGGACTCTCTTCAGGCCTGTGATTTTCTCCTCAGAGGAGAACTCTTTGGTTTGATTAGTTTGGCATTTAAGGGTTTTAATATTTAATTTGTGTCAACAGAGCAATGCTCGTCTACCCAAATGAAAACAGCGGGTTTTAACTAGGTAGCAGGCTGAAATGGCTCAACACCTTATGAGAAATATCCACAGATGCCTGACCGTGTCTATGAATACACAGTTGCACTCCATTATCATCCAAGCACAGAATGGGTGAGGTTTCGGGTGGGCGACTATGGCTGTTGGCCAGGTGCATCGGCTTTGATTAACATTTGACTTGGCTGTTAACCTCACACCACTGTAAAATGCTCCCAACGCAAATTGGCTTTCACTTGGTGTCCAAGAACATTTCTGACACAAGATGTCTCCGGCCTGTTTATTCAATTAGTAACTGAGACAGATTTGGACAAGATAAGGTAGTAAACGCCTTCCTTGTTTTTGAAACACGTCTATCATTTCAAAACGAAGATTGTGTTTTTATGCTTTTTAGGACGGCGATTTAAATAAAGGACATCATGTCGGGGGCTTGAGGGGGGGGCATTGTGGGGTACTCTTTATCTAACTGTACTCACGGTTGGCAGAGTTTGATGAGGTCCTGGTCGGTGGTCCCGGGCGGCAGGCCTCGGATGTACAGGTTGGTCTTACTCAGCTGCTCCGCCCCTCCCTGGCTGCAGCTGTTGGTGCTCGGGCTGGGAGGAGCCATGGGATGAGGGGGTGGAGCATAGGACTGCTGGGAAAGGGGGCAAAAGAGAGGGGAAAGATTTAACGCCAACTGCTAAGAAATAGATTTCATTTTTAAAGACACGCCAGGTGAGGTGGGAATAATAAATGCAATATCTGAGAGAGCAGAAGAGAGTGTGAGGAGGAGTGGGAACAATAACTCTTTTGGAATAGAACAGCGGGCACAATCGCTTCAATTTCATTGAAGTTATGCTGTGATCAGGGTAAGACTTCAGGAGACAGTCAACCCCACAGCAGAAACTAACGAGTGTTAAGAACAGACCTCAGCCTTGAATATGAAGAATACTTTGCAGGGAAATTGTTCCCACGAGGAGATAAAAGGTCCTCTCGATGTAAAAAAATAATAATAACCTGGAGAGGACGCATTCGGCGAGAAACATTTTTCACTTTGTCTCCACTTTTTGTCACCGACCTTTGTGCGCTGCATCGAATTGCATCTGAAGAAGTTTGTCTCTGACAACATGTGACTCAAAGAGTGCAAACATTTCTTTAGCCATGCTGCCGCTGCGCAATGACTGAGTGAAAGAGTTCATAGGGCTTCCAGCAGCTGCTTCCTAGCCATGGCCTCAAAGGCAGCTGTAAAACAATCTGCACCTCCGAGGGCGTGCCATCAATCGTCTCTCCTCCCCGGTAAGATCCATCTCCCAGAATGTGTTCAGATAGTTTGAGCTCTTTCCTCCTGCCCTGTACTCCTCGTGTGCCTGTTGTGCTGTTAGTGTAGATTTATGGTGTAGGAGTCAGGGCCCCCTGCTCACAGCACATTTATATCTCTATTGCAGGGACACTGCACATAGTGACAGGAAGAGAGAAGCGGCGCCCGGTGGGCATGAGCGCAGGGTGAGAGAGAGGGAGGGAGAGAGACACTGCAATAAAGTAAGTGAGTGATGGATGAAACGTAAAAAAAGGGAGAGAAAAAACTGTGAAGGAGGGAAGGGGACATGACTAAATACAACCACCGGCTTCAGTTAACCATCTTAACCCCCTCCCTCCCCAGAGAGACCCTAAGGACCCCACACCAGGCTGCACACACGCACACACACACACACACACACACACAAACCATTAGGCCTTCAATCCGCCCCACACGTTAGCAGCGGCTGCCGAAGCATGGCTGATTTGATGCGCTATTTTAAGCGTGTGCGCCGTGCCAGCGTGTTGCCTCCCGCTCCTCAAACAAAGAGCCGAGGTCTCTGGAGCGTGAAGAGGGAGCCAAGTCCATCAATGGACGGCCAATTACCACGCTGAGCTAAGTGGAACTGATGGGCAGCCACTCGCTGCGCTGGACACACACACACACATATGAAAAGCACATATGAGGAGGCCATGTGTGTGCCAGTGGAATCAATGAGTACTGTTCAATTTATCACCAACCATGTTGATAATTGATTGATTTGATTACTTAAAATAGTTTGTTTCATTTCTTGAGAAAAATGAAGAAGACAAATTTGTCTGACTCCAGCTACTATAAATGTATCCCCATCTTTGACTCTGAGGGCTTTCAGGAACGCGTGCAGGATTAACTAACCACTAATCAACTACAGGAGACAACAAGCGACAGAGAGTTGAGGCGCTGACAATAATCGTTAGTTGCAGCCTTAATTGCCAAAGCTGCTTTAAATCCTTTGGGGAAACTTCCGATTCAGTTTCACGTGATCCAAGAAAACAAATCCTGAGTAAAGTCATTTATGTAACATGCAAGATGTGTGGCTACGCAGGGCCTCTTACGGTTAGTACTTCCTTTTATTTTTTGGGGGGGATTTCTAACAGGTCAAACCCCCCTCGTGGCTTCAGGGTTACGACCTCCAACCATAAAACCACAGCAATCCTCGGCTCAACTCAGGCGAGCCTCGGTCTCCCTCTCCCTCGTTTCCTGTCCTACGGAGGGGCTGAACCTGGCAGTCTCACGTGTCCTCCCCCCTCACACCTCACAATCTTGATCTTTTGCGTGCTCGATGGGAGTTTCTCTCTCCAAGTTAAAGTCACTGGAATGTGCGCAGCTGCAGTTGCAGCCTCGACTTTTTCACCGTAAGTCCCCCCACCTCTTTGTTTTATCTTCCCCTCGTCCACTGTAGCCAACATTAAAACGCACAGAGTACTTTACATAACTGTACGACACAAGCTAAATTCAGCAGCACAAAGGGGAGGAGCTACGCAGAGTCGCTGTCACTGCTAAAGGTTAATTGAAAGCCCCCTTCCTCCTTTTGTTTTAGAGTAACACACACAGACCTCTTCCTCCTCCTCCTTCTCCTCTTCCTCCTCCTCCTCCTCCTCCTCCCTTGGCTTTCGTCCTGGGCTTTGGAATTCACGTGTCCCGCCCTATCGATTTGCTTTCATTTTTTAAGGTCAGAAGCTGAAATCTTACACAATGAGGCATGCAGGGTCAAAACCAGCCCATTACTTACAGAGTTGAGAGAGAAGACAGAGAGGGAGGACAGAGTCCCGCGGGAGCAAGGACGGAATGGGTGCCGAAAAACTCAAGAGAAAGGAAGACTGTTAGGATGGTGGATTCAATGGGTTTTTTTATGCTTTCATTTGGCAGAAAAGTACAGAGGGAGTTTCTCCTGAATGTTAGAGACGTGCGCGAGTTGGACAAGGAAAATGGAAAAAGAAGGGCCCCCGGAACGGGCTCCTCAGACGCTTGTGCGTAACGTATGTGTGCACGTGGTTTAGGTGGGAACTTCTAGAAGCGTGGGAGCGAAAGGAGCAAGCACACGTTGCCACACAGGCATTCAAAGCCAAACGGGGTCCCTGTTCCTGCTTTTTAGGTTTCTTATCAAATCCCCCCCGGTTTGCCCCTTATGCCTAGTTGATGATTCTGCGTTTTCAGAGAGATGCAAGGGACACGCAGACGCAGGAGTCCCTTGCGTGTCCCTTGCGTGCCTTTTCACACCTCCTTGCGTGTTCGCGCGCGTCGACCCATTTTTCTAGACCAGCGTCAAAAGCGACGCAAGCCTCCTGCAGCCCACAAGACTGCGATTGCTCTGCTAACTACATCCTTTCCGGTTTCATCGCACAATACCGCCATTATTAAAACGAAGATTTTTTACGAGAGAATGAATCAGATTGAAGAGCTTTTGTCGGAAGAAATGCGTAAATATGACCACTTCTACAAGCCATCATTGGCGGACGATAAGGACGCGCGGATGGCCTCTGATTCATGGAGGGAGATCTCTGCAAACGGCGGTTTGCCAGTCGAGGGGAACAAAGTTGTGGATGAAAATACGGGACAAATGTGTCCGCGATTGAAAAGCAGCAGTGTCGATGCACGGGGTAATAAAGTCTATGATAAATAAATAAACAAACAAACCAACGACTTCCACATACAAAGACGTGACTCTCTAGGTCGTCTTCGACAAAACACGTTACTCCACCTGTTGTTCTGGAGGTGAATCGCTCTGCAACACACGCGAGACTCTTAGAACCATCAATTGAAACAAGTGCGTCGACACGACGGTGCGTAAAGACGCAGACGCATGCGGCAGCCTTAACTGGAGGTCAGCTGCGACGCTCGTTTCTGTTTCCGGGTGGTTCCGTGAATGCCGTTTACCTTCAGCCTGTCACGAGTCTGAAGGAAAAGGATTGGATGCAGCACTTAGGGGGTTAACAGCGCAGTAGAAAGGGGTTATTGCAGGGAGAGAAGCGAGTGACAGAGTGACAAAGAGAAGAAACGCATTAGGAGGAAGAGTTAAAAGAGAGGGATGGCAGAAAGTGTGGCAGAAATGCTGGTTATGACACTTCAAAAGCCTCCAGGTGGTAAATGAGAAGAAGAAGAAGAAGAAAATAAAAAGCCCTCCATTCTCCCCCCTCCCCACCCAGCTGTGACATGCTGCTACAGAGGCTTACTGGGGATTTCAATTTGCCGCACTGTATTTTAGACGGGCAGAATGGTTTACACAGGCACAATTTACTGAGCCTGCCGAGCAAGGTGGGCTGCGAGGGGAGGGGAGGGGGGGGGGGGGGGTGGGGGGGTGCAGCCTGTGGGACTTGCCAGCCAATGTTTACGAGCATTTTAAGTGAAGATGATAAATCTGACATACGCTACATAGGCTGATATTCACACACCCACATGGTTTTTCATACAGATCCTAGCCGGCCCGCTCCGACACAAGAGTAATACGTGGAGCCGTACCTACTTGTTATTTACACGCTCATGCTGTGTTTGTACAGCCGTCGGCACAATGCACGAAGCCCTTATGCACACATGATCCAAAGTCTGATTAATGGCTCATTCCACTTGAGAAGTGGGAGAGGTTTCTCCACCAAAGGAGGAACACGTCACTTAGTCAGAAGAACTACCAGAATAAATGACGAGATTCACAAATGTTGAAAGCACCCAAGATAAAAAATGAAGTATAAAGAATAATCTTGTTGGGGGAAAACACATTCCAATCTAATCACAACTGCATTGAGCGTTTCAGCAGCGTGCGTCACAGGACATCCGCGCAGGTGGCACCAGGGGGGTTGACCACGTCTTCGGAATAGGTTGTTTCTTACTCTTGAAAACACGGGGAAAACATGCCGTGCGAGTGCGCCATGTTTTCCAGAGAGAGCAGAGGGCGGCCGGAGCACTAATTGGACTGAAAGCGGTGCTGCGGCTTCGCTGCCTCCCTGCACTCTGCAGGGCAGGGCTGCGACTGGAGGAGAGGCGGCTGTGCTCCACCGTGGTAATTGGCCCTGATTTATAGGGGGCCACAGCGGCCAGCCAGAGCTAGCTCAACACTGGCAATAGGCCAGACAAGGCCACGCTGTCAATATCAGTAAACCAACCCTGCCCAGCTCCCCGCCCCCCCAGAAAGAAAAAAAAAAACCCAGAAGGCCACTACTGGAGAACCGCTGTCCCCCCTGCAGTCAAAAAAAAGTGAAAAAACTACCACTAAAATCGACAAGCAGTCTCCTTAAATTGAAGAAAGTGTCTCAGCTCATCCTCCATTCATTCATGCAGGCGAGGGCTCTGAAGACGAGCACGCTCCCAGAGGCCTCCCTTCTAAA